TGCTTTTTTGAACATTTTAGCAATTTAAAAATATTAAAAAATTATTTTTTTACACGGCACCCCTGCTCTCTACAGACTGCACCCCGGTTGGGAAACACTGCCATAAAATAACCCGGTATCTGCAGGATTTTTAAAATCAAATTTAAGACCTTTAAATAACTTTTTAAGATCTGCACTTCACATTTCAGCCTTTAAACAGTTTTTAAGAAAAGGGATGAGTCAAAAGTATCAATTATTATATTACTTTAAACAGTTATTATCAATTAATTATTATATTAAATAACAAATATCTCAATTGCATTGTCTGTAAATTTGCAACAAACAAATGTACAGAGGTCCTTTTTTATTAGTGGCCTACAGAACATTCTCAAAACAACCTAAAGGACAGTTAAAAAGGGCTTAATTAAAAAAAAAAAAAAGTTATTCCAAATGGTACCATAAAATAACCTGGTATCTGCAGGATTTTTAAAATAAAATTTAAGACCTTTAAAGACCTTTTCAAGATCTGCACTTCACATTTCAGCCTTTAAACAATTTTTAAGAAAAGGGATGAGTCAAAAGTATCAATTATTCATTTTAATTAATTATTATATTAAATAACATATAAATATATCTTAGTGTCTTAATTGTTTAGATTTTTATAATGCATTAGCTTTTTGTCTGGTTCACATTTAAAAATATGTAGCAAAAATAGCAGATGGGCTTATTGAAAAAGCTAATTCGTTCTCTGCCAGCAGGTTTCACTTTCGGAACTGCACATATAATGGTTTCCCTGTGTGGGCAGAACAAAAAGCTGACTGCAGCACTCAAGTTTATTCAGTGAAATTGTAGCCTTTTGAAGTTTAATCGTCATATTAATCCATATAGCAATTGTTGTCTTTCCGTCCCCAAAGACCTCTTATAATTTAGACTTTTTGTACCATTTAAGAGTTTGCATGGCCTTAAATGTAAACAATTTAACTGAAGACGTTTTAAGGACCCGCGGAAACCCTAATAAGAACATAGTCCAGTGCAAACATTTCTGTCATGCATTTGGCAAAAAGCTTTTGTTGACTATGAATTTTACCTTTGAAATTTGAGGCAAGTGCAACTCTGGCGTCCCCGTTGTTTGTGAGCAGTGGTGTGATGGCGATTTAAATAAAATACAGATTTCCAAACAATCCAAACATATGGGTATCCCCTTGAACTTGGTAAAAAGATCATCTGTTTACCATATTGACTTGAAAATACTGTTTTCATGGTCAGTTTTTCATTTATTATTTGCTAAAGTTAGTGAATGTTTACATTAGAGTGCACGTCCTGCTACGCTGAAATGAATAGGGGAGCGGCTGGAAACTAGCGACCTCTCCTGGTTGGAGATAGTATTAACATCATAAACTGAAAGCAATCTTTAAAAAGACTTGCTTTTCAAATGTTTTAAAATTGATCATCCGAGTCTAATATGATCCAGCGGGCCGTACTAAAAGACACTGCGGGCCGTATACGGGCCTGGTTTAGATTAATCGATAAATTAATCGATCGATTAATCGAAATAAAAACAGTCGTTAGTGGCAGCCCTAATGTAATTTACTCCTGTTATGCAAAGCTGAATTTTCAGCAGCCATTACTCCAGTCTTCAATGTCATTCAGAGATCATTCTAATATGCTGATTTGCTGCTCAATAAACATTTCTTATGTTGAAATGCTGAAAACAGTTGTGCTGCTTAATATTTTTAAGGATACTGTGATCTATTTTTTCAGCATTCTTTGATGAGTAGAAAGTTCAAAAGAACAGCATTTATTGGAAATACAAATCTTTTGTAACATCATAAATGTCTTTACTCTCACTTCTGAGAGTAAATTTTTTATTTCTTTATTAAAAAATAATTATTTCATACTTGCTTATTAAAAGTATTAATTATTTTCCAAAACAAATCTAACTACTTTAAATATATTTGTACAGTACTGTATTTAGACACAGAGAGAAAGGCCAATGACTGCACAATCAGGTGTGTGTGTGGGAACACTAGCATTACATCAAATAACTGCATAAAACCAATTGCAGATAAAAATAACTAAATGGATTACATGTCTTTTTGTAATACTCATTTCTGCAGTCAATATTTTTTATAATGACCCTGTTCCTGATATCCTACATAGCTATGCTAGTTTCGTGTCTAGTCTTTTAACTTTCCAGTAAACTTTCCATAATCTCTAAGAAAATCTACTTTAAGTGACCTTGGGTGTGTATTCTGAAGGGACTTACCTGGGTGGGTGTGTTTTAAAGCCAGCATTCTGGTGAAGCTCTGTTTCTGTCTCTGGCTCTTTTGTTTCTGATCCATTAGCCATGATAGTAACCTGCCCATCTGCATTAACCTGCATACAATATGTTCTGGATTTTTATTCAGGATGACTTGGATAGAACAGTCTGTTGTCACTTCAGTGTTGTTATCGTTAACTAAAACTAAAAATTGTTTCCAGTAATTGACATGAAGCTGAAATAAAATATAATTATATATAATATTCGATTAACAATTTAAACTTAAAAAGCCTAAATGACAATTTGAAATATTGCCCTGGCAAGTACTTAAATAGCATCATAAAATAATATTACAAAAATAATAAAATAATATAAAAAATGAGAAAAGCATAAAAATGCAAAAAAAAAAAATATTTAAAATGATGAAAAGTTAAAATATCAAGATAATTCAAATATGAATAAATAATAATACTTGTCACTTTGCAACAGCCACACAGAATTGCTGAATTGTTGTTTACATCCTCTCAAGTGTTTTAAAAAAAAATACATAAGTAGAAAAATACATATTCACAATAGACATTTCATAGAAAGTACTTGAAAGTGGTTCCCCTCGGGGTCTGTCACATGACATAGGACATCTGCTCTGTGGTTCATCACATATTGGCCTAGTGGGTTCCTCTCTGATTGCTCTTGAGACTGTTTAGATGTGTACACCACCCCACCATCCTTATCAATAAGAAGAACACCTCCACCATGAGGATAAATCTACAATTAAGTTGAAGAGAGGAGAGAGGATTTACACATGATTTTGCCACATACATCTCACATATTCTCCCATCCATCCTCTTACTTTATATGATCCATGCGCAGTTGCGCTGATGAAGGTGCCATCCCCGAAAATAACATCACATGCTCTTCCCTCATAGTCCATAATCACCGTTGCAAATTCAGCTTTTTCCACCCGAACCAGTTTCTCTCCTGAAATCAGATTTAATCACTTTCAGTCAACACTGTAAGAACCTTTTATAATGTTACTGCATTAAAACACTCTTGCACCTGAGCTCAGATGTTGTTGCAGCTCCCCCTGCTGGTAGAAGGAGGTAATACGCGTCCCATCAGCGTGATCCACTATCACCGTGCCATCTTTCTTCAGCACAGACAGCACTTTGTCCTCTCTTGTGACCACAGCCTATACATGTATCATCTGTATTACAACAATCAACTATTGACACAAATGAGATGAATCACAAGACACTTACTGTCCCACTGAAGGGGTCTGTAGCATGATAGGCCAGTATCGGCTGCACTTTAACTTCCTTTCCAGCCACAGAGGCGACTCTGGAGCCAGAGGGGGTTGTGGTGGTCCAAGAGCCACCGTTAATCTCGAGATAGTATTTTGTTCTTTCATTTTCTGTGGACTTTTGTTGCTCATCCTCTGTATTTACCTTAGAATCAGCCTTGCCTATGAGAGAAAAACATGTTGAATATACTTAAAGTGGACATTACACAGTCTCTCTCATTCATATACTTATTCATATTCATATACTTATCAAAAGTGTGAGGTCAGTATGATTTTTTTTAAAGAAATATATTTCAGCAAGGATGCATTAAACTGATAAAAAATGACAGTAAAGACTTATAATGTTACAAAAGATTACTACACCAGATTTTTTTTCTATATATATATATATATATATATATATATATATATATATAGTGTGAATAAATAAATCAGTTTTCAGTAATGGTTTTCAATTTGTTTGCACTGATGTGGTATTCGCTACCTTTCTTGTCTTTGGTGTCCACTATCATCTCTTTAATAGGATCTTCCTCCTTTAGGAGTGTGTGTGGAACCAGCACACACACTGGTCCAGAGTCTGGACTCGTACTGACTGTACCATCTGCAAATAAGACCTGAAACACGCACATATATTGTATACTTCCTCCATGAGGTCATTATTTCATTAGAAGTGTGCTTTTTGTGCTGTATTATGTGGCATAAAAAGTGCACATGCAATCGTGTGTATATGTGAATACCTCAGTAGATCCATCTCTCTTGTGTTTGATGACAGTCCCTCTGCCGGTGATGACCCTGGAGACCTCAGTGTGTATGCTGACGTCTGGGGTCAGATCTGATCTAGACCCTGCATTATAAAATCTCTGTCGTATCAGCAGAAATTGGACACAAGAATCCCCATCTAAAAAACACAGATAAGACCTTACAGATGTTCTCTGTGTCTTGAAACAGAGAGAATAAATAGAATAGGATAGGCCTATTCTTCAATATCAAAGGCTAGTTATGCAGTATGTCAAGCCCAGTAAAAGTCATGACAGCTCAGTGTGCTTTTACTAATGTTTTATCATGATTAATACAGAGCAGAAATTAATAAACCTTATGGTGCATGAATTTTATGTACACAAAAAAGCATATCACCTGCTGAGTCCTCACAATCAAAGTGCAGGATGAGTCCATTGGGAAGAGATACATACAGATTGAGGAACTGTGGAAGAGAGGAATCGTCTCTGGGATCACAATGTACCTCAGGCACCTCAGAAACACACATTTGTGAAGGAGATAATGGCTATTTAGTTATGATGAATTGAATGCCAATCTAAACAACACATAACTAATTTAAAACCTAACTAACCAACATTTTTCCATTATTATACTTTGTCCAATTACCTGTTCCTGTAGTTGCTGGCCTGTACAGATGGCATTGGGCACAGGGGGTTGGAGAGTTTGACCTCTTGTTTTAATCGGTTTGCTCTGACTGCAGGAGAGCTGAATGCCATTGGCCAGTACAGCATGAAAAGAGACAAATTTCTCGGTCTCACAATCTGGTTTGACTCCATTAGCAGCTGGATTGGGCAAAACAATTAGTAGAGTAGATATTTAATATATATATATATATATATATATATATATATATATTTAGAATAAAAAGCTTTTTTGTATTTTATGCAAGCTATTGAAATAGTTTTGCAGCACATACCTTGTTTACTGAACATGTCAAAATCCTTTAGTTTGTCCTCTTTTTTTCTCTCTGAAATGTGTGTGTAGAAGTGATGGCCATCCTTGTTTACACATACTTTCACTTGTGTCAGCCCTAGAGATGTAAACCAATCGTTAAAGGTTAAACGGTTAAGTTCATAATATAAGGTTAACCAATTTATATAAGGCGTAAAATGTACATGTACATGTACATTTCTCAAACCTTGTGTGAAGTGAAAACTCTCCACATCAATTTGTCCTCCATCACAGGGATAGAGAGACTGAACTTTGCCAGCAACCTGTACCAGTTTTCCATTTAAACTGTAGCCTGTGAAAACCTGTGTGAATTATATAACCATTTAGACATTTCATTTCAAAGTTAGCACCACCAAATCTAGACTATAGCCAATAAGCATTTTATGTGGAAATATATATTTCAGACATTTGTTCTAATCTCATTTGCTGGTTCTTGAGGCGTCTCTAGCATGTCTCTGGTCTTGTCTCTATGTAGTGTAGCCGAGCTGGGTGTTTTGGACATGTTGTCTCTACTCTTTTTTGAGGACAGCGGAGTCTTCTTGTTTTCCTTTACTGAGTCGATTCTCTCTCCTACTTTCGGTGTTGCTTTTCCTCCTTTTTCTTTCTTAGTCTTTTTGGATTGTTCGTCCTCCTTTAATCTTTCCTGCTCGATCTTCCATGCCTACAGTAAATACATGAGAAGAAAGGCCAGTGTAAGGATCATGAAATCTGAAAATGTGTATAATATAAATATTTATATGTTATGGTTAACAGCTCACTTTGAGAGAGTCCTCTCTTATATACGGTTCTAATGTGTCTGAGATTGGGGAGTCTAAAAGAAATAAGCTCAGTTTTAAACATGCACATCATTAAATCCATAGTAACGTATTTTTTAATATCTAATATAGTTGATGTATACATATGTTGTCTATATGGTTTCTCTTGCTCAGAGACATATATATTTGACATTAGTTATGAATATGTTGCCTCTCTTCCTGTCAGTCTCTGAAGGGGTTTGAATGGGAGTTCTTTCTGCCTCTTTCTTCTCCTGCTCCATCTGCCATTTTTCCTCTTCCTGCTTGGTCCATTCACCGATTGAGTCTGCCACATATTCCAAGTAGTTCCTACAAGAATATAACATTATACTGATATTATATTATATCATTCTGCATATTTTGTAACTGACATTTTTAACTGTAAATGTCAGTGTAGCATTTACTCAGTAGAATGTTCCAATATTGTCAACGTATTAGGAAAACTAAAAATGTAAATTCGTAAATAAAAATCTTGGTATTAGAAAAATGATCATTAAATGCATCAAGCAAATTTTTAAAAATAAATTGGCTTTGGATTATTGGACCATGTAAAATTTTGATGATGAGACGAAGTACCTGAAGCCCACATCTGTGTGAAGTGATGCATCCCAGAATTCTTTGCAACTCCTCTGAGGGCTCATGGGATTTTGGCAGATGACATATATTGCATTGTCTCTGCAACAGTGAAATGTGTTCACACATCTATAAGTCTCACACGCAGACTGAAAGACCTGAAAATGCAGAGGGATTCCTCATTTGTCATTTTTACTGCAATTTCTAATAGATTTTTTTAATTATATTGCAAAAATATTAAACATATGGATACAAGATGAGATTTGAAGGTGAGTACCTGTGGGAAAACATAAGCACTGTGTTTCTCTACAAAGTTCCAGTGTCCCAGCTGACGAATCAATGTCTTCTGGAGATCTGTTACAGTTACTTCATGACCCTGCTTTGATTAAATTTATTAGTAATTAAAAACCAATCACTTGCTCATGATAGTGTCAATATAAATTTTAATTTAATTATAAATGTTCAAATTTCAGCTTTTTTTCTTGTCATACCGTTTGTTCATCAGTCCCAGCACTGCTTTTTGCTGATCCTTAAAAAATAAAACAACTTATGTGTACAACAAAAGACTTTAACATTGCTTTAGAAATATTTGTTTAGAATTTAAATGTATTTGAATCACTTAAAGTGAACTGTAATGGCTGCTCTTGTGCTCTCGTCACACCTGGTATCCTTCTGTTGCTCCAGTACAGATGTTTGGTGAATTCAACAGGGTTGTCCCATGGTGTGGGGTTTGGAGGATCTGATTGAGATCCTTTAATACAGCCGCTCTCATCCACTGTAGTCAACGGCATGCTCTCAAACACAAACAGCTGGAGAAGCCTCTGTAGCTCAGACCAGCTCATTGACTCTGAAGATACACATTAAGAATTTACTTCAGGAAGAATTGGACCATAAGTTAATATAAAAACAGTAATTCATTGTCATTCCTCCTCACTGTCAGTGCAGAAATGCAGTAGCTCCTGTGATCTGGTAAGTCTATCAATGGCGCTCTCAGCGTGTCTGGACATCAGGTTGGTCCACACATGGCTTTGCTTCATGATGTCTGCTTCAATTTTGATGACATCAAAACCATCTAGGACCTGTAACATATGCATAAGTGTACAACACTTTTGGTTGATAATTTAGAGGCCTTAGAAATTTGCCTAAAGATGATACAGTAGACTTTAGGGTTAAAACATTATCAGTGTATCCAAGAGGGCTAATGCACAGAATAAAACATTTGTGCGTGCTTTCAAACATTTTTGTGTTCGAATCCAACATCCTTTTTATTATGAGCCTTGTGAATGTATGTTCACATGCTCACAGGAAGCTGATGGAGTCTTCTCGCTCTCTCATCATGGTGATTAAGCAGGAGCGGGTGTTTCTGATCAGTATTCTTTGGGCTGTTGTGCATCTCAAGATTCTTCATGAGATCCTGCCATTACACCAGCAGAGATAATAGAAAAACTATAGTTAGATTTTGATTTAGAAACCCAGTGACTTTTTGCTGTTGTTGCATTGGTGTGATCCACATTTTACCTTATTGTCTTCTTCATTCTGTGGCAGACTCAGCACAGATGAGAGCATGTAACTGATTAGATCTTGATCTGTTTTATCACAGCGCTCTTCTGAATCATCAGATCCTTCCTGTTCTGAAGCCACCACCTAAAAATCTCACAGGAAGTCAAATTTAGCAGCCAAATCTTCAAAGAAATCAACATCTTGCAGCAGATGCGCCTCGTTCAGTAGGGCATGTGTACCTATTTGATTGTAAAACCTGTGTGCAAATGTTAATCAAAAAAAGTTGCACATTTTTGTTTATTTTTATATTTATGTCTGTATGCTCATACAGTGATACGTTCAGTAGTCTTTTATCTTTTCAAATTGAAGGCTATATTGAATCATACAAAGTGCCCTTACCTGTTTTAGCATGCAATGCAGTATAAAAGGCACAGATTGGATTGCAGTAGGAATCCTGTCCAGTAGGTCACAGTAGAATCTCATATCCACCTCTGTGCTCAGAACAGGAGACTCTGGCTCTGCTGAGGAAACCCAAAGGTTCAATTTAAGAATATTTTGAGTGTACACAGGATTTTGTGCTCTTACTTTAAATGACACAACATTAATTAAATCACAACTTTAATACATGTTATTGTTGTTGATTACATTTTGCATGAACGTCCATGGGAGACTGTGCAACTTAAATCTTAAATTTCTATGTATATTTTATATTGTGCTTTTATTTTATATGTAAAACCAAATCTCATTAATAGTGTATCATGTCTTGTATACCAGGGTCTTCCTCTGATGCTACTTTCTTCCTTGGGGGTTGTACAACCTAAAACATAAACCATGAAAAATATCATCACCAAAAAAAAAAAAACAACATGTACATCCTGCCACAAGAAGTGTCTTCTGAAAGGAACTGCATTTGAGAAAAAAACTGCACTTGCTACATTCAGGGTTTCTGCAGGTTTTTTGTTTGTAAATTTAAGACTTTTTTAAGACCAAGTAAAGAAAATTTAAGGAATAAATTGAAGGGAAAAATATGTTTTCAAACTGTAATGGTCTAGTAATGAGTTGTATGTAACATGTCAAAGTTTAAAAAGCAACTTCCAACCAATCTCCATTACTTTTTGAACGTATTGTATCTTGATTTAAGGCCGATTATATTTGTAACAAAATACTGAGGAAGGTATTCATTTTTTATCAATGCATGCAGCATTTAATGCCATGACTTTATCAATCATATTAACAACACTACTATCTGTAAAGGCTGATGTGTACCTCAGTGGAGCTCTGCGGTCGGGACTGCTGGATGGATCTGCAGGCCTCTGGTACCTGGATAAACCTTATACAGCTGAGATAATGGCTGTACTGTCTCCTCCAGTCCATGCTGTCATATACAAGGCATGCCACCCCCTCAAATATAGCAGCTCCAAATGCCAGCTATAGACAGTAGTGGTAGATAAAGTAATGTAATATGTGGAACCTTTTTTTTTCTTTTTTTTTTACAAGGGTTTTAGATATATTATGACAATCAACACACAACACATATTAAACAGAAACCGAAAAAAAATCTGAATCACAGGTAGAAGAAAGTGTACTTCTTGTTCTCCATTCACCATTGCTTCAGTGTTGCCTTTGTCCTGGGGCAGCAAATGAATCTTCACATTATAGTTCAACCTGGCAACATCACTGAGCCTGGATCCCATATTCCCACTGTTCAAGACTTGATCCAGCTGCTTCCAGAACACATCTAGCTCCCACTGCCTCTTTTGTTTAAGTGTCTCTACTTCTGAACACAAGACGAGTTAATACTGGATGATTTTACATTTTGATTTTGCATGCATACAAATATAACATCAGTCGTCCAGTTTGAGCTAGCCTGCATTTTCTGCATGCACTGTGTAATATAATTTGAAAGGTATAAACGTAATAAAATTCTTAGCAATTTGCCTTGATCTTCAGTTGAGTGGTGATTCTCATCTGCCACTGTTTCATCTGGAGCCTCTAATTCTTCTTCTCTATCTAAGCCCAGTTTAATGATATTGGACACGTGGATACCCAGATAGTCCAATGCAGAGATTAAATGAGGCTGGCAGAACCCCACAATCAGGATGTAGTGCTGCGGCCCGTCATCAGGCTCATCATCTGAACACATATGTTCAAAGTAAAAGTTAAAACACTGTTCGCAAACCTATTTTACTTTTGTATTCTGATATATGCAGATATTTGACAAGAAACAATACAGAAATGGACACCTATGTATTTGATTATATTTTCCTCTTCCCCTCTGCGTTTGAGATTGGTGTCTTTGGTTGGAACTGGAAGCTCGGCAGCTTTCTTCCCCTTTGCTGCTCCTTTACCCCCCTGGTCCTTGCCGGCAGAATTCAGTCCTGCTTTAGCACGGGCGTTATCCTCTATAGACTTTAATACACATAGTCTGTGTTACTGTTCATCAGAGACATGTTAAAAAAATTATGCATTGCATATTTAATTAGAATTTGTCACATATGCAGTGTAAATTTGAATAGAATAATTGACATGACATGAGCTGTTTGTAAAAAGCCCTCACCTTCTGCTCAGCAGCCCTCCTTGCAATGTCATTATTTTTGATGGTCAGAAGCTGAAACTTTATTAATTTTGCCATCAGGTCCACAGTAATTTCCTCTCCAACATCCATTATAGACTTTGCAACTTCAGTCACCTACAGAAGCACAAAAGACATTTAACTGAAACCATTAATAGACAACATAATTTAGCATTATTTAGTTTATTTATTCATTTTATTTCATTTTAAATTTCAAACTGATTGGTTTTTTGTTTTTTGCTCCAAAACTATACATCCACCGTAGGATGACTGGATCTTAAAACTATACATGACCAATACATTTTTGTAACTGTAACACTATACTAACATTTCTCTTTTTTATGGTGAATAACAATTCCCACCTCACAAAACATGGGAACATCTTTGGTCTTTCTGGTCTTTGGGTTTCCCAGTTCATTGATCTGTGTCACAGAAGATTGTAATATTTCTTTAATGAAACACAATTAAATGTCATTCCTTTCCATCACACCCATCTACACTTCCTTAATAATACTCTCTAATGATCTAATGTGAATTATCACAGAACAGAAACCATATTTCAGACCTTTTCCAGAGTGTCCTCCCAGGACAGCACACTGAAGAGCTTGCGCAGGGGCTGCTGGACCGCCTGCAGGAGGGCGCTGATGAGCTGTTCGTCCTCTGCTTTTTCTGCCTGCACCATAGACAGACTGGCCCTCCAGTCATTCTAGTCATAGATGATTCAGAGGAGAAAAAACATAAATTTTGTCTAATAACAAATAAAAAAAATCTAGTTCCTGGAGGGCCACAGCCCTGCAGTGTTTAGATTTAACCTTAATTAAATGTACCTGATCCAGTCCTTCAGGCTTATTTGAAAACTACATGGTATGTGTTGGAGCAGGGTTAGAACTAAACTCTGCAGGGCTCCAGAGTTTGACACTCCTGGTTGCAATGAACGCAATGAACGTTTGCGTTTCTTTATTTAAAAGCATAGTTCATCCCAAAATGATAATCAGGCACCATTTACTCACTCTCACGTGGTTCCAAACCAGTATGACTTTAATTAATCCATGACACAAAAAGAGATGAATGTTAGGGGGTCACCTAGTCACCATTCACTTTCATTGCATATTGATATATTCACATACACTGAAAGTGAATGGTGACTGAGATTGCCATTCTGCCACACATTCGGTCAAAATGTTTAGAACAACATGAAGATGAGTAAATGATGCTGATTTGAATAGATCAATTAGAAGATATGGGATATAGAAGAAGAAGAGGAGGAAGAAGAAACAAAACAACGGTTTCTTGAGGATAATTTATATGTTACCTCTTCAAATACAGCAGAAGTAAGAGCTGTTTCCCAGTTTTTATTAGCAGCAGCTGGCCCAGTCGGAGTAACCCCAGATGGAGTAGCACTTTTATTCCGTTTGGGGGGCATATTCACTCGAATTTCACTGTCAGTATAACGTCGGTTGTAATAAATACTACCATTAAGTTATTTTTAGTCGTTGTTCTTTTACTTTAAAGTGGTAACTCTAACAAAAGTTTGAATGTCTGATCAAAGTTTCCAAAAGCGTCGTGGTAACCTATGGCAACCAAACAGACCTGCGTATTCCACGCGACGCGCGTTTCAAAACGCCGAGCATGCGCACACTGAACATAGCATAACGTCACTATTGTGCGCCAGCGCTGAACATGGCGAGCGGTAAAAAGAATGCTATTCTCACTTCACTAGCGGCTTATGGAGATGATTCAGAGCAGGATTCAGATCCAGACACAGATGATCAAGGTATAAACTCTAATTAGTGTTAGGAAAAACATGTAAATACTGGGACTTTGCAACGCTGGCGGCTTTGTTGTCGATGTAGGGGTAACGTAACGTTAACGTACGCGTCGCCATAAATAACTGAGAATGATAAAATGTTGTGGAATAGACAAAATATGACTTCTTTTTTAAAAATATATTACTGTTATGGGCTCAACTGGGTATTTTATTAATTGCTGGGTTGTAGTACGGATGCTGTTATGATGAACAGCTTACCATTGGGTTTTGTAGAGGGCAGTGCATGTAAAATTGGTTTATTTCCTGCTTTATTTACTTAATGTTGAAGTTTTTTAAAATGTATTTTCTTCTTCTGCTTTATGTAACTTTATGCTTGTAACCTTCATTGACACGACAGTTAGCCTCAACTGTTATAACAAAAGATCTCATATTGGTGTTTTATGGATTTACAGTAGCAACAATAACTAGTAACTAACTATGGTATTTAACTGGCCTCAGTGGAATTGAAAGAGCTTTTTTGTGCTTGTCTGTCAGAATCTCATGGTGGATTGGTGTGGGCTGGTTACGGAGAGGAAGATGTGAGTCGTGTGGAGGAGGCAGATGAGAAGCCCTCGGAGAATGAGGACAGTGATGATGACAGCACTAGAAATTCGGTCAGTCTTAACCACAACTTTCAGTTTAGGGGTTTTCTAGAAGTGTCAGACCATTACATTCATGTAGAATGTAATTCACAAAATTAACCTTCCGTCAATTAGAGAAGATCAGAGCCAGTTGTAATAAAAGGAAGTAACACTACATTTTTGCAACCACAAACAATTACAAGAAAAAAAAATAGTGATCATAGCACTTGATTTGAAATATATATATATATTTTTTTTTCATTGTCCTTTTTTTAATTATCAGTGTCATTAGGAAAAAAAGAAACATTTAAATAAAAAGAATTTAAATTGTTGCAGATAATTAGAAAGTATATACAAATTTCCATCTGTTTTTAATGCACATTATTCTTGACAGCTAATAGGATTAGTGCCATATAAAAGTAAAAAATGTCCCATAATTTAGCAACACACTGATTTGTTGAATTAAAGATTATGATCTAGTAGTTCTGATATTTGGTACAAATATTATTTTTAAATCAAACGTTAAAAGGTTGCTTAGTTGCAAATTTACAATTGCCCCTCTTTTTTTAATTTCAACTGATTATTTGATTAATGCCATTTCCCACTGTCTGTGTCAAGACTGTTATATGACATGGGCTATAACTGATATGATATTAACTATAATTAAGTTAATCAGAAAAAGTCCACAGTCAGAACGCAATTCACAGTCATTCTCAGAGCACCATGGTTGAAACTTTGTACACCTGAAGGGGGAGCTCTTGGGTGTGGTTTTGGGTGTAATGTGGCTGTGGTGACCCATGTTCATTTTTGTTTTCATAGGAAGAGGAGGAGTCAGACTCAGGGCGGACCCAAGATGATGTGAAGGTATGTGACCCCACCTAAATTCCCTATCTGACTGCTCTGGGGTTCAGGGTATCTAACCCAAGACACAAGCCTTGTCCAGACATTTGCGGTCTTGGCCACTTGAGAGCGTGTGCGCGCGATAGGAAGTAAGTGCGCAAGACTGTCCCAGGTCTTAAAAATGACAAAGCACAGTGCCCTTAACGCACACTAAATCCACACTATCTCGAATATCGCTCTGGAGCGCTATTCGAGGCTTAGTGTATCCCATCATGCATCATGTTCTGGAAATAAATCATGAGACTTTTTGCCGAGATCTTGCGAGAGGTCACGGAAACCTTTCCAATGTAAGTTAAATATTAATATAATAATTAGATATTACAAATAATTTGGTAGAAAAACAGTGTTTTTACTTTTGCAAAAAGTGTTTTTACTGGTGCAAAGATGAGTTGTGATATTTATTTTGTACAACATTTTTTTATAATTTAATTAGAAGCACCACAAATTAAAATTATGTAATGTTATAGGGACTACTGAACAGACATTTAGAAGTTGATTTTAAAATGCAAAGTATTTAAAATTAAAATTAAAATAAAGCTGTGTAAACACTTGCATTTTTACAACACTATAAGTGTGTCCCATCAGGTAATGAAAAGTTCGACACACACTTGTGGTCTTCATGCTCACTTGAACGTCATAGAAGTAATCAAGTGGTCAAGTGCAAAGACTGCAAGTGTGGGTATTTGGACAAAGCCACACCCTTCCTCAGTTTATTGCAGTGTTAACTTATGATTGGTCTCAAACCAAGACAACACAGCATCACTCCAACTGAGGAACAACATGTGTGTTTGAACTCGCAGAGAAGGGTTATATGAGAGTAATACAGCATGTCCTTAATGTTTTGATGGATATTTATTGAAAATTAGGCCGGGTTATGCGCAGTTACTTTTGTTATACATTAATTTAAAATGTACAAAAATTGTTCAAAAGTTTGGGGACAGTTAAATGTATTAGATGTTTTTAAAAGTTATTTGATCAAAAGTCAAAACAGTAATAATACAAAAAATTATTATAATTTAAAATTGTTCAGCAGCCGTTATTCCAGTGATCGATTTGGTTCTCAAGAAACTGTACTGCTTAGTATTTTGTAAAAATCAAACATTTTATTCCAGGATTCTTTGAGAAATAGATCAAAAGAACAACATTTATTAGAAATAGTTTTTTTGTAATAAAAAGTCTCGACTGTCACTTTTTATCAATTTAATACATCATTGCTGAATAAAACTGACCCCAAACGTTTGAACAGTAGTGTATATGGAATTCACATGGAATTCAAATTTTCTGATTATAAGTTCCAAGAGCAATAATCTAAATTCCAATTCCATCTAAAAGGATTTCAGATGTGCAAAGCACTGCAGTGTCAAGTTATTTCATGCACTAACATTACTTTTTCATAATAGAAGCTTGCGATGTTGCATAAATTTAGAGCCACACCCCAAAGACAGAACACTGTTCGTCATGCTTACTAAATAAGATCATCAAAGCATGTTTTGTAATAAAATAATTTGATTAAATTAATTGCTTAATAATGACTTTTCCAAATGTAAGAGTTATGGTGCTTTTTATTTTTATGTGGGTTCAGTTCATTTTTGTCCTTTCGACTGTTATTCACCCAAAAACTACAATTCACATTTACTCACTCTCTTGTTGTTTAAAACAAGACAATATGGTGTTTTGAATTTAATTGTAACTTAAAAAGGGGAATTTTGAAGAATCTTTATGCACCTATTGCATAAAAACACCAGCATATGGGTTTGGAATGGCATGAAAGTAACTATTCCTTTAAATGCAGGCTGTAATCTTCACCTATTAAGTGTCTTATTACTTTATGATTCAGACTTTTTTTTGTCTTCGCTGTTGTAAAAGTGCATGCAGGGGCATGATAATGAAATGGCAAGAAGTAGATCCATTAACCCGTGGTCCCATTTTTGGGCTAATCTAAATGAAAAAGACCTCTTTTAGGGCAGGCCCCCTGCCTCAGTGGAGATAGATGGATCCTTTTTTGTCTCACATTGTTTTGCCATGCTGCGTTTTCAAGTGAATGGACTGTTGTTAGGATTTGTGCTTTTGGCTACAAGAGATTCATCTCTTAGTGAGTCATATCTCTCTTTCTCTGTGCTGTCCTAGACAGATTTTCTACTTGGGCACTTTTACGAGACCATTCTTCCATCTGCACATCCTGTTGCTGAGTGACTGTATGTGTGAGATTGTGTAAAGGAGGACAGTGAATAGAGGGCCAGTGTATTTTTATGCACATTTTCAGGGCTTTTGCACTGTGGTGCTGTTTTCATCACCATCAGTTTTTAAGCCTCCCAAGAGAGATATTTTGTGTTTTAAAAGTGTTGTTTTTACAGCACAGGATTAAACTTATTTCTCATCTGAATAGCTAGTAGTGTATTAGGATCTTTTTTTTTTTTTTTTTACACAATTTAATTTAAAAAAATGTTTGAAAATTAAAAAATGTTTATCCTTTGGCTCTGCTGTTGTTGGACTTGGAGTTGGCACAAGGGGGCACTAACACTTGTTAAATGAACAAGCATACATTGTTATTAGCCCATGCTGATAATGTCAAAATGGCCAAATATTAATCCGTCCTAACAATATTTTACTTGGTCTGTCGTAATTCATCTTATGTACACGTACATGCTGACTTGAAACGACATCGGAAGGAAAATATGTTATTGATTTTCAATTATGCATGTTTGTCCTTTTCTTCTTTTCATAGGATGTCACAGAAGTGGAGGTTAAAGACCCCAATGAGCTTGTTGGTAAGTATAAAATTAATAAATTGTACTGTCATCTTCAAATAATATTATTTTTTTCCAAATTTAGCTTGGATATGGTAGAGAGCACAGATGTGTATATGTGCTCCAGGCAACATGGTGTAATCACTTTGTCAGAGAGTGGCTGAAGTGTGTGTGTGTGTGTGTGTGTGTATGTGTGTGTGTATTGACTGTGCCCAGGAAATGAGTGATCCAGGTTAGATTGCTTCAATCTTGTTTTATGGAAATCCTGTGTAATTAGTTTGATTATAAGTGAGACCTCAGGATCATCACTTTTCTATTAAACCTAATACGGTAAGTATGTGATGATCCTGGTTGATTCTGGTAACAATGATTTCTGATTTAGGACTGTTATTATATTAGTAATCATGTAATCTGAGTATTTTGCAGGTAAATCAAGTCCTGACAATAAAAAAATAGCAGCATTTCAAGGATGCAAAAATGCTTCATAATGTCCCATTTATAATAAGCTCAACTTGAAGTTCTGTAATCTGCTGCTTTAAATGCTCAAGCACTTTAAAATCAGGTGGAATCCATTATTATCGTTATAATTGTGGCATGGACTTCACTGTTCTCTTAGCTTTAGAATAGTTATTAAAACTTTATAGTTAGGCCTTCGTGATTAGTCTCCTCCTTTCCAATTCATAAAGTAGTCAAAGATTTAATTTTTATTTATTTTATTTATTTATTTTTTTTTGATGCTCAAATTTTTAAAAAGTTATTGTATTGTACTGAAAGCTGTCATGTGCAAGTATCTGTGCCACTAGCAGCTCTGAATGAAAATGCTAAAAAAAAAGCTCATCTGCCATTTGGTAAGACAAACAGGTAGCCTCACACCAATCTTGCTTATGAATTACTTTGTCTCTGTAAATGAAGCTGAAACAGGAAATTGTTTTAATATACTATACGTCAACATTAATATCTTTTTGGTATTATTACTTCAGCCTGATATAGAGAAAGAGTGGAGAAAAAAAAACAACTTTTTGATGTGCAGCATTATTAACAGACATAACACACGGAGGCTGCACTAGAAGTTTGTGATGTGGAGCCCTTAACTTTCCCTTTGTGTTTGTGTAAAAACGGTATTTATAACGCCACATATCTTTCTGATGCAGTCAGAGACTGAATATTCTTTTTTTTACGGTTGTAGGGAGTTACAGTAAACAAGACACTTGGGCGAGTAACTGAACGTTCCACTTTGTCTTGTTTTTTTTCTCGTTAAAATGTGCAAATATCAGAATAGACCGTAAGACAGGAAGGTCTTGTCGGAGACTCAAAGATTTTCTTTGTGGTTGCAAGACAGAAGATCTTTAGTTTCTTCTCTAATTTTCCCTCCTTCTCTGTTTTTGGAGTCTTTCTGAGATGGGAGTTGGTGTATGGGCTTTGTGTGTGATTGTGCCACTTGTTTGGGTGGACACTGAACTCTGAAGATGCCAGAGAAATGAGTCACTTACAGTCAATGTATGATTACTCTGATGGAGAGGAAATGACAAAAACCGACCGATGGAGAGAGTTCTACTGTTCTAAGATCAGCTAAGATCACAGTGCAAATCAGCTCAGGGATAAGAAATCTGAGAGCAACAGGGGTTTTTAGAGGTTTTTTTTAGAAGACCCTCATCTTGCCAGCATTCCTGTGCACACTTGCTGCCTGCTGCTACCACATTTACTCTAATCACACTATAATTATTAGGATATGCTTGAATGCTTTATAAAACACAGCTTTCAGACCAACTACATGAAGCTGAATCCTTGACAGCCACAAATATAATCACACTCTCCTAAGTCTCGTAAAATGACAGTTTTATACTGAAGTTTTTTTATATTTTCTAAGAACATTTGAGCTGTGTTTGTCTTTGTTGTTCTGGTTTTGTTGCTAGGGTGTTCTGGGTGGTTTCTAGGTGGTCACTTGCAGTCAAAAGAGCCCACATGTCTCTGTATAATGTTCTGGTAACTGTAGTGGCAACTTTTGGAAGTAAAAATCCCATTTATTTTATCCATAGGGAAATTTATTTTTAAAGATAATTTAAACTGTTAAAGACAGACCTACTGTGAGCTATGAGGTTATTAATCGATGGTGTATGCTTTTATTGATGTCATCAATCCCCTTTATTTCAACTTATTTTTAACTAATTGTTTAACAGTGGAATTCCTGGTGAAAACTACATTACCAATGATTCTGCAAAAAAATCTCCACCAATCAGAAAATCAAAACAAGCAAATTGAGCCAAAAGAGCTCTTAAATGCCCACTCAAATGCAGTTTTATGTTCTGAAACGACGAAAATATTTGTGTGTATTTTGCAATAAATATATATTTTTTTGTTTGTTTCTATATAAATAACATCTTTAAATCAGTAGTTTAATATTTCTCTTTTTTTTATTTTGATTGTAATGCATGGGATTGTATTTCTTTACCTCATTAAAGCCTAAATACACAATCTTATTATTGTCAAATTTTTAAATACTCTAAACTTTGTATTACAAACACGTCTTGTTTATTTGCCTCTTTATGATAAATCACTTATATTCCTCATTTGTACGTTGCTTTGTATAAAAGTGTCTGCTAAAATAATAAATGTAAATGTACTTTTTTTTTTGTCTGAAATGTATGTTGTTATTCACCTCGTAGCTGGTTGGTTTGGTTCATGGCTTTAACAAAGACTACTTGAAAATCCCTATGGAAAAAATAAATGGGAAAAATACTTTCCAAAACCAAGGCCACTAAAACAGTGGATGGGGACTGTTGCAATCTATACGACACAGGTTCCTCCTTCAGTGTAACTATAACATCCATCAGGTGAAAAATAATTCTGATCACTTAAACTCACAATTTGTGGTGTCATTTATAGACGAGTTATGCGTTAAAGTTTAATACAGAGTCTAAAATATCTAACCGTAAGTACAGTATGGGTGTGCATGATCTGTTTTGCCACAGGGTTGTTCCCGAAAGTACGGTTTACGTAAGGCTGCCCTGGCTGAAAAATGCTTTTACCTTTCCGAAGTACCTCGGCAAGTTTCCATCACTAGAGGGCCTGTTTTTACATGTTTATGTCTGTGTGTGTGTCTGTGCATTGCTTAGGGAAGCATGCCACATCTAGAGGGCCCCACCCCAGCCCTTCCCTGCTTCTGTGTGTGTGTGTGTGTGTGTGTCATGCGTTTTAACAAATGGAGGCATGTTTTGGCCCACAGTCACTGCCTCAGACTTGCCCAGAACAGCAGCCAGGGGATGTGAGAGAGGCAGATGAGGGAGGAAGGGTGTGTGGGATTGAGAAGAGAGGAGGTGAGGTGAAAGAGAATTCGGCAGTAGCCTGTTCCAACCAGTATGGTTTGAATAGTGTTCACTGCTGCATGTGTACGCAACCACAAATTCCATTTCTTGGTAATTCGCTCCAGAGACGTCTGACGAAGACTGCTGATAGACACTTCTAGTTTGAGGGAATAAAAAAAAATTATTATTGCAAATGCTTACGAAATTGAAGAAGTAGTTCAGTGTCATTTAAAAAAAAATTTAAATGAAATATAGCTTGAGGTTAAAGTTGCATACAGAATCCAGAATGTTTGTTTGGAAACTTCATACCACTGATGGGAGTATTTTTTTGTCCCCAGTTGATTTCTTTGTTTATTTATTTATAAAAATGTGCTTCATGTGCTTTTTTTCTTTTCTTATTTTTTAAGTGATATTTGCTTATTTCTGCCTATATGAAATATGTAAAAGTATATATCAGAGAAAACTGATGTAACTGCACAACTTGGCTTATATAAATAAGCTTGCATTATATTTTTATATTATAAAAAAAAATAAAAAAAATCTGTAAAAATATATTTTTTAAATGATCAAAGAAACAATATGTAACAAGTAAGCTTGCAGTATATATTATGTTTAAAAAATAAAATATAGGTCATTTTTTATATATTTTGAAGAAAAAAACAAACAAATAAGCTTATATTTTATTCTTATATATATATAAAACAAAAATTAAGCAACATAAGCTTGAATTTTAACAACATGAGAAAAATACTATAGCAAGATTGCATGGGCGAGCACTACTAGGTTTTCTTGAGAAAATATAAAAATCTAGTTTTATGAGCATACTGTATGACTTGCTGTCATTAATCCACTGCAGCATTTTATGTTTTAAATAAATTGCCTGTATTTGCTGTCTTTGAGTATTTTTTTCCTTCTTCACAGCACAGTTTTCGGAGAAGGTTCGAAATATGTCTCCAGATGAGATCAGAATTCCTCCTGAACCTCCTGGGCGTTGTTCCAGTCATCTGCAGGTGAGATGGTTGCTGTATTCTGTTTGAGATGTTCTTGACTTGCTGCCATGGGCTCCAATGAGAGAAATCTTGTGGGCACTTTTTCACTGTGCTTGTTTTCTGATAGATGCTAGTCTCAGCTATCAAATAGCTTGTCCACTGATCATTTACAGGCCTGCATTGTGCATATTGCACAAACAAATGACAAAAAAGTGGGCCAAAATCAATTCTAATTTGATTAGTTGGCTGCTGTGCAATGTCCAGGAGTCACATATGTACCCACAAAGCTGTGTTAAAGACTGCTGCAGTGAAGGTGCACGTTTGTGAGGTCATTTTCAAACCTTTAAAGATAATGTTTTTTTAGGCATTTGGTAATAAATGTCTTTTAAGCACACTTACATTTATGAAAAAAATCAAAATCAATGGTTTTTGGACGGACAGAATTTGATTGTTTTTAGTTGTACATCCTTTTCTTGAAACTATTGCATGATTATTTAAATGAGTGTTTATTGACTTTGATAATAGACTGCCATGAAATTTCAGATTTGCCCATAAACATCACGTAAAAAAAAACAGTGGTTGGTCTATTTCTCACAATTTAAAATAAGTTCACATTTGTTGGATAACAATATGATCTAACAATAAACTATTTATTAATTTAAGGTTATGTTAATTTCAACATATAAATACTTATTTAAAATAACAGATTGTCCATTAACATTAGTTAATGCATTGTGAACTGACATGAACAACAATGAAGTGTTTTATTTTTATTAACAAAAATTTATAAATACTTCAGAAAATATTGCCCATTGTTAGTTTTGGTGATAGTATATTGCATTTAAATAGAGTTTTTAAATGAAGTCATCATCAGTCTAAGCACTGTTACTTTAATTTGCATAAATACTTTTGTGAATCAGATGCTAAAACAACACCGATTGTGCATGCAAATGAAGAATGCGATTAGTGCTGTTCATTCTTGGTCAGGTCAAGTCACCTTTATTTATATAGCGCTTTTAACAATACAGATTGTGTCAAAGCAGCTTTACAGTATTAAATAGGAAAATAGTGTAAATAAGGCAAAAGGACAATAGTAAACACTCAATTTTCAATTAAAGGCAGTTCATCATTGAATTCAGTGATGTCATCATCCAGCTCAGTTCAGATTAAATAGTATCTGTGCAATCAAGTCGACGATATTGCTGGAAAATAAGTGTCCCCAACTAAGCAAGCCAGAGGCGACAGCGGCAAGGAACCAAAACTCCATCGGTGTGGAGAAAAAAACCTTGGGAGAAACCAGGCTCAGTTGGGGGGCCAGTCTCAGTTCAGTTTAAATAGTATCTGTGCAATCAAGTCGACAATATTGCTGGAAAATAAGTGTCCCCAACTAAGCAAGCCAGAGGCGACAGCGGCAAGGAACCAAAACTCCATCGGTGTGGAGAAAAAAACCTTGGGAGAAACCAGGCTCAGTTGGGGGGCCAGTTCTCCTCTGGCCAGACAAACCCGCAGGTTGTTCCAGCAAAGTCAGATTGTGCGGATGACTCATCTGGTTCCTGTGATCTTATCCCGATGGCCGTCTAGGAGACAAGGTTTTCACTGGGGATCTGCCTCTGGGGCTCATCTAGTTGTTCTGGTCTCCGCTGACAATCAGGGCTGTCGAGGTCATCTCTAGGTCCTGATCCACCATCTGGGCTGGATACGTACTGGATCCGGGTGACTTCAGTGACCATCTGATCTGGATACAGACTGGATCTGGTGGCTACGGTGACCTCGGAATAAGAAAGAAACGGACTAAGCTGGATACAGACTGGATCCGGGTGACTGCAGTGACCATCTGATCTGGATACAGACTGGATCTGGTGGCTTCGGTGACCTCGGAATAAGAAAGAAACGGACTAATATTAGCGTAGATGCCATTCTTATATCGATGTAACAAGTACATCACGTCATCTGCCGCCCGCAGTTGATTTTGATATTCTAGGTATTATCAAATTGCCAGAGTTTTGAGAACACAGCAGACGTGGAGGACTATAATGCAATAAGAGCTCGCTCAAAGATGAGGTGCTAAACCATTCAGGGCTTTATAAGTAATTAGCAAGATTTTAAAATCTATACAGTGTTTAATAGGGAGCCAGTGCAGTGTTGACAGAACCGGGCTAATATGGTCATACTTCCTGGTTCTGGTGCTAGAACTCTAGCTGCTGCATTTTGGACCAGCTGGAGTTTGTTTATTAAGCGTGCAGAACAACCACCCAATAAAGCATTACAATAATCTAACCTTGAGGTCATAAACGCATGGATTAACATTTCTGCATTTGACATTGAGAG